GGTCTGGGGGGTTTTCAGCACCTGCTGGAAGGTGGTACAGGTGTATTCGAGTCCCCCTGAGGTGGGGAGGGGGCTCCAATTCACTTAGCCTACCCTCCAAAGCCAACTAAGGGGCTCCATTTGCTCCCTTTCCCTCCCCTCCCATTCTGAAACGTGGACAGGCTGGCAGGGAGGAAGGACTGTTGCTAGGGGAAACTAGCTGCAGACTCCCAGCCAGCAGCTAGGTACCCATCTCCCCTGGAACTAACCGTAAGCTTCTGTTTGGTCTGGGAGATCGCTGTAACTCAGAACACTTCCTGCAAAATCATTCTCAGTTACAGTGGGGAGCTGCACTTCTGTCTGTACCTCTTGAATCAGGATGGTTGACTTAGTCTTAGTACATACAAAGGGCATGCAGAGCTTGCTTTGCTCAGCTAGAACAGGCAGCAGCTAATGTCAAACAGTCATCAAAAAATTTGGAACCAAGTGACTAAAACAATATTTTGCTCACCAGTTATGTAGGTTTACCAGGGGAACAGAAAACAGTACTAAAATTAAATGTAGGTACATAGCTAATTATGGAGAGTTAACACTACATAACTATCGTGGTAATGATATTTTCATTATACATGGAATTCTTTCTCCTTTTAAAATCCTCAGGAAAAAGTATATTTTCAGGTCCAAATAGTCATGCTATTCAAGTAAACTGCACCACTAAGTTCTCAGCCTAAATAATGAGGCAAACTCATCTTGCCTTGTGGACTAGATGAGGAGGGTGCGGCCAGTCTGTGGGCCAAATTGGGCCCACAGACCAGCCCCATATGCCAAATCCAGTGTGCACTGCCAGGCTAGTGTGGGTGGCACATGCAGCATGTTGCTTGCAGCACACATGCCAACTTTAACCCCACGCACCACATGCTATACATGCCCCACACAGCACAGGTGTCTGGGGATGGTCCAAGGTTTATGGCATACATGATGCCCACGCCAGAACAGCCCTTCATGCTGGATCCAGCATGTGTAGCCAATCTGTAAGCCTGATCTAGCCTGGATCCAGATCCAGCATACAGATGGTCTGGCATAGGTGCCATATGCAGCACATGCCCTATACTGGCCAGGCACACTGCATGCAACTTGTGCACTGTGTGTAGCCCATGCTAGACAGGCTCCACACACTACATGCAGTGCAGGGGGCCAGGACCAGCACATCACATGTAGCACATGGGGCTGGTTTGAGGCCCACAGGCAGCACTCAATGATAGATCTCAATGGGCTATATCTGGCCCACAGGCCATATCTTTGAAACATGGATGTAAAATGCTTCTTTTTGTTGGCTGTGAATGTCACTGGATGTCTGACTGTTCTTTTATTACTGTGGAGTAGAAAGCACTGATCAAATTAATGTTTTGTACAGCCATTAATTCATATTACCTTGTATTTTATCTGTTTTCTTTGGATATTCTGTCCACCTCTGAATATATTTTTTTTTACTGGGATTTCACAAACTTCAGCATAATACAGCTCTCAACAACTTTATGAGAACTTTTAGACTCCTGCTGTACCCAGAGCTGAGGTTTTCACTGAGGTGTCTGCTGTGATCCACACATTTCATCAGAGATGTTCTAGTAAGTGTGGAGCCCAGTGTGCATGAGAAATACATATGGTTTCTTGTACTTACATAAAGTGTAATTTCTTTTACTTAGCTTTTTTACAACATTCTCCCTTCCTTACAGTACTGTCTACTTTTAAATTATGTTATTTTTTGCATTCTCTGTCAGATCAGACCAGGTCAGGTCTGTTACCATTATGACAGTAGACAGTACGACCTACAGCTGTCAACTCCGAGAGCTGGCCAGCAGGAAGTGTAGCCTAGCAACCTTTATGGTGTCAACAGCTTTGGGCAGAGGAGCAACCTAGAGGGGGATACTAGTCCTTATCTCTAGTGGAGGAAATGCCACCAAAAGGTGGCTACCATGGTAGGGTGGACTGGACTCTCCAGCCTTAGTTGGCAACCAGTCTAGGAGTGGAGTCCCTAGTACTGGCTTCTGCCTTTCTTTTGGAATCAACCAGCTAAGCTGAGAATGGGACACTGATATATAGGCAACTCAAGTCTCTCCATATCAACTGTCTAGGCCATTGCAGCCAAAACTGAATGGAGAGAATATTCCATCTTTGCTACCTGAATAGGCACAACATGGAAGGAGGCAGTCACAGGTTATAAGCTCGACTCAACTGACAGAGTAGAGCGCCACGGGTCACCTACATCAATGGGAGGAATCAATTGTGTTCCACTGGTCAGCTACTGCCTGCCTTAACTTGGGCAGCCCCCAGCAAATAAGGTGCTGGCCCACCATGGTCTGCCTGCCTCATTTGGTGTGTAGGCTACACAAAAACTAAAAAAAGACACCAAATCAAGTACTAGGCAACAAGGAAAGAAAATTTAAAACCTTCCAGCAGGGAAGCTGGAATATCAGGACCATGTTTTACCAATGATGAACAATGTCCAGAAGCCCACACTGATAGAGAGCTGAAAAAACTTAATGTTAACATTGCAACTGTGCAGGAGACAAAATTGGCCAACGCAGGCTTCATTCATGAGGCCAACTACATCTTTTTATGGGAAGGGAGGAGTGCAGAAGATACTCACCTACACACAGGTAGATTTGCAGTCTGCAACAGGCTGGTCAAGATCATTGAGACCCCCACTGGAACATCAGATTACATCATCTCACTCCAACTAAAAATCAACTGACGGTTTTGTTAACATCATTAGTGCCTATGCACCAACTTTACATGCAAGTTTACATGATAAAGATAACTTCTACAATGCTTTGAACCAAATCACTGAGCACCTACCATCAAATGAGAGACTTCTCCTCTTAGGGGACTTCAGTGCTCGAGTAGGTGCAGATCACAACTCTTGGCCAACTGCCTGGGATATCATGGGATCAGGTAGAGATGACCTGAGCAGGGTGCAGGGCCCAGGGCAAATCAGCCTGTGTGGAGCCGCGCCTCTGGATGTTAAGAAGCCAGTGGCAGATTTGGCAGTGAGGGGGAGGTGGGATGTGTGTGCGCGCGCTGAGTGACCGTACGTGCCGGATTTGGTGGCTGGGGGTGGGGGGTGCCAAGAGGCCGGACGTGAAGCCAGTGGCAGCACCGAGTCGCTGCAGCTGCTCCACTTGGCTCCATGGGGCCCCCCAAAGCACGGGGCCTAGGGGGGTTGCCCTTATTTGCCCCCCCTCTAGGGACAGCACTGGGATCAGGAAAATGAATGAAAATGGCCAATGTCTTCTCAAACTCTGCATCTTAAACCTGTGTATCACTAACATCTATGTTGCAGGCAATGAGCATCAAGGAGTATACTGGAGACACCTGCAATCTGGCCACTAACATCAATTAGACCTCATGATCACCAGAAGGAA